CCCCCACCTTCCGCTACTGGCTGCCCCCTGGCCCACCCTGCTCACAGTAACTATCTGACCGCACTTCGGAGTACCTGCCGCTCAAATGACAAGCGAGGGCTGCGCCTAGACGAACTTACATTCGTCACTGTCCTAGCAGAGGTCGTCTCTAACTCGGCCACTTGCTCTGATGCGTGGATATCTAAAGCTGTGGCTCGCCTCGCAAAGGAGTTGTGTGCTCAAAATTTGCGCGCATTTATCAAGCTCTGTATCGGCCTGGCGCATAGCGTCGCCGAGACTGAGAAGTCTGCCAAGCGTCAGTACGCCCAAAACAGGAGGGGCGGGTCCGCTGCCCATTCTGCTGAAGAAGATCCTCTCCGGCGGCGACTGCGCACTTGGACCTTGTCTCTCTTAGATCAAATTCGAAATCGGGAGATCATGAACGATACTGGAGAAAATGATGATGAGTATCAATGTTGCGTAGGCTTTCTTTTGGAAGCGTCATCCTTAGGCCTGCACATTACTATCACACCCGACTCTGCCCCCACACTATCTGATGCCTTGATTTGTACCGCAAGTTATTGTATTGTCACACCTGCTCTCTCTTCATTGCCAATCACGGATGTCCGCGCTCTAGAGGAGATGTTAGCTACCACACGCCCGAAGTCAGAGACCTACGATGCGCTTGTCTCCCCTTTATTCTCGCCAAATTCTTTCCCTCGCAGTCAAACCACGCCGATGAGCGTCACTCCCACCCCTCCTCCTGACACCATGTCTCCTTCGCCTTCACCTCAGGGTATGCAAGTCCTGCATGTCTATGCGCAGACGCTACGTTCACGCCGTCTCTATCATCTAGAAGCTTCCCTTCTATCAAATGCACTCAGACATGTCGACAACATTCTCCTCACATCGAACAATCTACCATTCTTCAAACAGCCCATGCCTACGGGTGACATGGACACCATCCGCCGAGAGCTTGTCCAATATATTGAAAGCGCTGAGGCGCGTTGCTTTGGCGCACGTACAGGTGGCATTGCTCAAGGTCTCCAAGCGGGAGTAAACGCAAATATAGGACAAGGGGCAGCGTTCGGCGGTGCGTCCGGGAATCGTTGGGTTTGGGAGGATACAATGGGGTGTTGGGCACCGGAATCTCCAGTCGTCCAGCGCCGTGAGCAGCGGGCACCGAAGCGGAGAAGACTTTCACGAGAACATCCTACCATGAGAAGTGTGGAAGAAGGGCGCAGCCTGCGTTCCCAGTCGCGGTCTCAAGAGTCTCGCCGCATCGCGCGCCGCTCACTGCCAGCTCTCAACGTTGCTAGAGTCGTATCAGGCGGGCGAGAGTCTATGCCTTCCCGCAGAACAAGCGTATCTGCTAGGAATGACGATGTTGCGGGTTCGGATGATTTCGAGGCACAGCTCGGATCTCCTGTCTTGAAACCGCTCTTGCCACGAGCGCCTCGTCCATCAAAGAAACTAGACCGAGAGAATGTCTCACCCGGAGATAACACGGCCACCCACTCTCGATCTTTAGTTCAACACAGTCAAGCGAAGCTACCCATGCAAAGACTTACAAACTTCGATACCTTGCTTGCGGACGCGCACAAAAATTGCATTGTTCTCCACCCCGAAAAACTGAGCGACGAGGCGCAGAATTTCCGAAAGCACAAGTTATCTTCAAGTCCTTCGCGAATGCGCCGACAGACTGCAAAGCAGGACTTGGCACCCGACAATGACTTTCCGAGCACCTACCACCTATCTTCGGACGATGCACTGGATTTATTCGCATATCAGTCTTCGCCGGTGGTTCCGAAGCGCATGCGATAGGCATCAAATCTCGGTCTCTTGTTATAAAGGTCTAAGTGGACATTTATCTGCTGTCTATCTACTAGCATCTTTTGATATCTGCATCTTTCTGAATTAGTTTTGCACATTCTGGATGTTGTATCTCTACTCCTCTTTTTGCTCGTTTATATCAAGCACATCTTGAACACCATTGTGACACCGCTGATGTCGTCCGAACACTGCAAAGCGCGTATCAAGTCCCGCGATATACTCTTGTCGACATGTCGTACACGCAGAGCAGAATCTGGTAATATTTCCTGCTCTCCTGACGAGCGACTTGAATAGGTACCGCGAGTGCCGTTGCGTTCAATATAGGCTGGACCGGACCTTAGTAATGCAGACTAGATGTCCCCAGCGCGTCCATGAGAACTTATATGACAGAACTTTCGGCGTACTCGCAGCGGAAGGTAGGGTGGTACAAAGCTTCCGTGGTTCATAAGCAAGGCCCAAACATGCCGAAAGGTATAAATCCTAGTTCGACAGGGCGCAATCGTGCGAGATATCCTCACAACGCATACCAGTGTGGGAGCGATGGCATACGAGCTGCAGCATCATCAGGCACTCATTATTGCGCTGTACGCAAATCTCGCAACGGCGTGCCGATCTATGCCTGTGGTACATTGTTCCTCGTAGCCGGCCTCATATTCCTTCTCCCGCCGTTTGAGCCAAGAGGTAAAGTATCGATGAGAGAGACCAGTGTGCTTTCATTGTAATGCTAAAAGAACGTTAGCCTAGCTACGCAATGATTATGCTGCGTGTTTGAGATGAATTGCTAGTGACGTATCATACCCCTTTCTTTAGAGGCATTTCGGCTTCCTCAAAGCTTCCAGTTGAAGTCTAAAAATTCGCGCAGGTCTACTCGGCAGCAGACTACGACGTCGACAGGATTTCGTCCGTCGGCAACAGCTGGAAATGCGAACACGTGACGAAGGTCTCGCGTCGCGATCGTTGATCAAAGTAGCGCACCCTCGACGCGCCACATTCACATTCGTATATCACCATACCCCGCCACGCGTTTGACGCAGTACAGAAAGCTATAGAATAAGTCAAAGTGACCGAGAATCCTTCAAGTTGTATAAAGAGCGCGCAACATTCACGATGACTGCTATAATACGCTTTCCTGAGTGGATATTCCACCTGTCCTCTCGAAACTGTCTCACGTCCCCAGAATGCGATATAGCTGACATAGGATTGCATTCCTCTGATAAATTTTACAGTGAGATTCCGACTCTATCTAGAGAACTGGTTATATCCTCTGCGCCTAGGGGTCCCAATGCAGAACAACGGAAAGTGGAGTTTCTGGCCACTGCCCTGCCCAAAGCTGCTAGTGCATGTAAGCCTCTTTTCTCTATTCCCACTCCCATATTCTCTTAACATGTCTCATCTACGTCACAGTCACAGCCAAACATACTCCCCTCAAGTCAATCGTATATTCTAGCGTGCAGAAAGAAGACAGACCGACAGGAAATCAAGCTGTGGAAGATTTCATCAAACGAGAATTTCCGGACAAGATACATCGAGACTATGACATCATTGAGCTCTTCAAAATTATCTGGGACGTCGACTTCAATAATCTGCCCTTGCGCACGCCAAGATCAAAACTCCATCTAAACAAAGATCTCGTAACCAGGTATGAAAGAGCGAAAGAACTTGAATGCTATCCGCTTCTTCTCTCCCTCTTCAATGACCTCCTCCTGCAATTATACGGAAAACGAGACTCGAACAAGCCGAGGTGGACGACCACGATACCATATCCAGCCACTCTGCGGACATTCAACACGCAATTCAGCGCTCTTCGAGAGAAGATCGTGGGCGGAAACTATACGCAAATAAAGCCTGACATGTGTCTCAGCACAGTTACAGACCGAGTCATCCAACATTGGGAGTGGTTTCTTGCGTACGTGGAAGTCAAAAGAAGTTATGGGAAAGCCCCTGTTCAACACTCGAGGCGGTTCTCAGTCTTTAGGTTTATGAGTGTAAGTCGCTAAGACATACTTTCGATCCATTTGCACTCAACAATTTGCAGGGAATCTCGAAGGGCAACACGGTAAACAAGAAAAGGAAGCAGCTGGATGACCCACAAACATCTTCGACAGGGTCAAAGCGTAGTCGATCATTTGCAGGTACAGCCTCTTCAAGTTCACGAACATGCGGTGCTGGCGCAACCCAGGCTTCTCACGCGGGCCCCTCTAACAATCCCGGTAATGCATGTAAGACAGAGGGGGCGCCACCAGGTCAGGCAATCGACGTTCCACGACCTTTGACAGGACATGAGGTGCAATCAGCAAAGTATATTAATGAGCTCATGTCCCATGGAATCCGCTCATATGGGATAGGTTTGATTGTTGAGGACCTCAAGGTTAAATTATGGTATGCTGATCGAATGGGCGTGGTTGTTTCCGCTCCATTCGAGTCCCACCTCCAGCCGGAAAAACTACTTTTGTTGCTCGCGGCAATGGCAGGTGCTAGTCCGCACAAGATGGGGATATTTTCTTTCTTGCAGTTCCGAGAATCGTCCTCCACGTTCAGCAATTATGACGGCGTCAAGTTCATTCTAGATGCCAGGCGACCTGAGGATGATAACGACAAGCCACTGCATCACCTTGAGTTCGATGTCAAGGCCAATGCCAAGCTTCCCATCTATACGGAGTTTGGCACTGTTGGACGTGGGACAACAGTGGTCCCAATTAAGGCGACAGCAGAGTCCTCAAACCTAGTCGAGACGGACGATCTCGTAGCAAAAGTTGCATGGCCACCGAAAGCCCGCGATGCGGAAGACGTATTCGTGGTGACTATCCGCAAGAGTTTGGCAAATAAGAAGAAACAGGTTTTGAAGCATGTTACTGATCTGAGAGCGTTCGTCACTCGCACGATTGATGAAATGAATCTTCCGAGGGCTCGGATGAACGTATATGCTTGTGAGGAGCGCGTGTGCCGTGTTCTTATCCTCAAACGCTACGAGAAGCTACAGATGGTAGAGAGCGTGGAGGAGTTCAAAATTGTCTTCACCGACGTGGTCAGAGGTATGTTCTAACAACCTTGTTAACATTGCGAAAATGTGCTTAGCGACTGTTGCATAGCTCATCATTGGGTCTGGATAATATCGGAAATTTTGCATCGCGACATCAGCACAAATAACGTCATGTTCTACCGCGAAGGCAGTCGCATTGTCGGAGTCCTATGTGATTGGGACCTCGCGAAAAGAAGAGATATTGAGCAGGAAAATCTGGATGATGATGACGATGACATCTTGACTGAGATCCCCACTTCTCACCCCTCTATGGTTTCTGGCACACCTCAAAGCCATTTTCCCATTCCCGAAGAGGACAAACAGAAACAAAAAGGTGCTGGTGATGTCACACCACAAGAGGACGGTGAGAAGACCAGAGGTGTGGTTGGTCAGGACACAATGCAGGGAGAAACCCGCCAGCTACCACGGTATCGGACAGGAACGGGACCGTTCATGGCACATGAGCTACTGGCAAGCGGAAGACCACCATATCATCGATACGCACATGATCTTGAATCATTCTTTTTCGTCCTCGTATATGTCTGCGCTGTATTCAATCCCACTGCTCACAAATTCGGACATCTCAAGGCTTGGGAGCATCCCGATCTGATGGTAATTGGAGAGAACAAACTTCGGTTTCTCACAGATTATGATACTTACGAGAAGACGATCGCGACAACCCATCCGGATTACAAGGAACTCGTTGATACATGGGTAGAGCCTCTTCGAGGCGGCCTGTTCTTCGACGTTGGGCAACATAATGCCAAAATCCGCTGGTTGCGTAACCAACGACATCAACAGGTCCGGAATGCTTTGCGCCTACAACGGCCCGTGAAGGTAGACTCGTTGACGACAGAGATCGCTGCGGTTTTACGGAGCAGACGCGAGCTGGTAACGTACGAAAAGTTCATGGATTTGCTGAATGAGAAATCAGACTACGCTTGAAGCAATAATGACCCCGTTGTGAAGCCTGTGAGTTCGAAGATTACACCATGAGAGCTTAGGATGCGCTAGTTGTAGAATTCGTTTATTGATGCATGTATATACGTGTAAATTTTGTTTTCATTGGGGGCCAAATTCGTGATTGACGGATCAAATCTATCTTGAGTGAGTGACGAACTTGTGGCAGGATCAAGTTCCGATAGCTTTGTCTCGCAACGCATTGCTATGCCTGGTACGTACGGTAATCGGGATGGACGTTCCTCCGGGCCACTGTATTTCTCTAAACACGCCCTCGTCCAGAAGGACGCTCATTTTGTTATTCGTTATTCCCGACTGTCGCCAGGTCAGGTCTCTCCCATATCTCAAGCTGACAGAAATGTGCGCGACAGGATCAAAGACGACGCAGACGTAACCGAGTATTAAAAAATGACTCGAGGTCATAGTAGCGGTATCGATGAAGGGATAGATCTCCGTTCACGAGCAGCTCGTGAGCCATGAACTGACCTGTACCCGTTCGATATCTCGGTAGCAAGTAAGCGTTGATATCCGGAGCCGAGCAACCGGGGTGGCTGATACTCAAGTGGTGGCTATTATTCAGGGCAAGTTTTAACTTTACACAGATCAAATTACTCATGTTGGCATCAGGGCACTACATATGTACAGAGGGTTATACAATTGTCTATCCAAGCTTGAATCAGATTAATCCGCGACAGAGGCCCGTACGGCTTAAGTTTCCGGGTGGAGCGATTCTCCAGCACTCGGGGCACGCGCTGAATTGTCGCTGCAGTCCGCTCAAGATCAATCTTTGGCAGATCTTGTATTTCATGTGCTCTAACTTCCTCCTCCCACACCTTCCGAAGCTCATCTCAGCTTCCCAGCTATATTCATACTATCAGCAAGATACCCCCCAACGACGATGCTAGCGTCAATATGTAGCGAAGAAAGCGCCCCTTCACAGGCAAATAGCAGATGAAAGTCGAAAAAAATTCATAAACGCAAGGCAAAGAGACGTGCAAGGGCTACACTATAACAATACCGCAAACAAGATGGTCCTGTCACAACACGCTACACCAGTGCATGCCTGCTGTGAGTCCGTTCTGGGCTGGCGTCTGCGCCAACCGTGTTTACCAATCCCTTTGCTGCGGTGCTCATCGATTTCATTGTTATCTTATTGATTCTGTTGGGTTTGCTCTCGAGGATATTATCCTCCTGGCCGACTCAGCCGGAGAAGGTTTGTGGTCTAGCGTTCGCTCGATATCTAGTCGAGAATATCTCTGATTTATTTCAACTCATGAACTTCCTTTTTGCACCTCCTCAGTGTTCCGTGATTTTATTGCCCCTATGGTGTAACCTTGGTACATCTCATGATATTCCGGGAGCTCTGCCTCACTCACACTCACATACGGCACTCTCCCTGACTTTGACACCAGTGCCCTTGGCGCAGTGCGACGAAGATATTCGAGAGCTCGCGGCGTTGCTGCGAACAATTCTAAGTCATATTTATCCCCGGCATCAGTCGATCCGTCCATGGCAGCGTCGTTCAGAGGGTTCCCTAGAACGTTCTTGGTGGCCGGAGACGCGGAACGTTTCTTGTTTGTGTCGGTGTTTACGAGATAAGATGGCAAGATATTTGGGCGAGGGGAATATCAGATATTATGAGACGCCAGATGCATTCCGCGGTCACGGTCAGATGCTTGCACCGTTTGAAGGGCCTAAGAGCATGCAGTGAAGGTGTGTCAGCTGAGTAAAGTAGAATCCGAAGTATGTAGTGTAATTGGTGTATTCTCTTTGCACGCGGCGCGCGAAAATTGCAATGGAAGATTGACTTGTTTGCTGTGCTGCTTCACAGTCTGAGAGTATTATCTCCGGATTCCGACGGTCGTGGCGTATATATTGGATACAACACTGTAGTCCCGCGAATAACCCACCGGCGGACGAGATCGAGGAACTTTGAGATGGCAACAGCATTACGCCACATTGAGTACAGGTGTCCGAGGGATTGCTCACTGTGTCCATGTCCTTCAGAATAAACATAGTCTTCGCGGGGCCTACACATACCAATTGGCAAGGTGGCCGCGGGTCCGAGTCGTGGCATGGGCCAGTGCGCAGCGAGCCGCCACAGCCACGTGGGACGCGCGTCTAGGGAAGGGAATATATGGGAGAGGTGCGGACCCACAAAGCAAGACAACACCCAAACAGCCGATGAATTCAACCAGGCGTGCTGCACTTTCTGTTCCCTGCGACGTCGTCCTGTTCTCCTCCTAACCCGCCCTCATTTACGCGCCTTTTCGCTTGCTGCACCCTCCCCCCCGCTCCCCGTCCCCATCCCGCGCATAGCCACTCACCCGCCCACCATGGCCGGAGCATCGCGTCGCTCCTCACCGTCCTCCTCGTCGCGTCCAAGCCCCATGGGTGTTCAGCCCCCGCGGCCCCAGAACGCATGGATTCTCTATCGCTCCGATAAGCTGCGCGAGATGATGCAGCGCCAGACCGAGTCCGGGCAGCCCAAGAAAGCCCAGGCCGACGTTTCCAAGGAGGTCGCGCTCTTGTGGAAAACAGAGTCACCAGCGGTTCGTGCAGAGTACGAGCGATTGGCGGAGATGAAGAAGCTCGAGCACCAAACAAAGTATCCTGGCTACAAGTTCCAGCCAATGAAAAAAGAAGATAAAGCTCGCATGCGGCAGTTGAAAAAAGAGGAGAAAGAAAGGGCACGAGACGAGGCAAGAAAGGGCAAGGCCCGGCTCACCCCTTACACCCAGCCTTACTACTCCGCCACTCCCAACCAGATCCCTTACTACACCCTCGACGGCTGCTACGACCCTGCGGGTCCTTCGCCTCCCATGTCTGCTGCTTCTACACCGTCGCCCTGTCCCAGCCCATCCTCCTCCTCATCCGAGCTCGCTTCTGGATCTGCCGAGACTGATCCCCAGCCGGCCACATACGCCTTTGTAGCACCTCTTCAACCTCCCTCATCAAGTACATCGCCTCCTCAGCCATCCAGTTCTCAGCAGCCATTGATGAACACTATGCCCCCACCACCAGAAATTGTGGTCACCCAACCGGACCCACCTCTTCCCTCTCCTCCCCAGCACCTAGAGTCATCTGCGCAAGCCGCTTGGTCCATCCTTCCCGTACCACAAATGGAAACCCAGCAAGGGCATGTGCCCATGGACACTGGCGAGAACGAGTCTGGTCTGCCCGCAGGTTGGGCACTGGACGCTCAGGAGAGTGGATTACCGCCACAATTTATGCCAAACGGCCAGGTCTGTCAAGTTTATGCAACTATTTCGTTTGGCTCTAACAATTCGTTTTGCAGCCCCAACAATTTCTTACTTTTGAGATCCCTTGGGAGGGACCGGGCTTGGACAATTCGACGGAGAACGACCAAAGCTTTGCTCCTCTGATGGCGGCCGGTGGTCCCGAGGTTTGGCAACTGTCCGGCTTTGACGAGGATATGTTCATGCTCGATCCTCCTGGCGAGATTGACCTCGCGATGGGTCAAATTACGCAGCTGACTGAAGGCGAAGCCGAGCTACAGAGACAGCAATTTGCCCAATTCCTGGCGAACTTTGACTTCTCGCAACTTCCCAGTGGACTGGACGTTTTCCCGGCGCCTGCACCTCAACCTCCACAGCAGGATGTCTTTGAAATGAGCGACGACCAAGGGCGTCCTCGAAGTGTCACACAAGAATCATTCATGCAGTTCTTGAACCTTGATGCCTCCTTCGTTGCTCCGCTCCAAGAGCAAACGATACAGCCTGCCATGCTCCATGCTGAGCCCCAACCACCGACAACAAGTTCACCGTCATCGTCGGCAACAGGGTCATCTCAGTACGTTCCACCTTCTGGAGCCGCCAATGCTTCAATGCGTAGAGTCGCCGGCAGCTGGAAACCTGCGCCAGAGTTGGAACCCGTCGCAGAATCTCCGCATTTCTCGCAGCCCGGCCTGTGGCCGCATTAGACCCTTTCTTTACGACCTTTACGATGCTTATGAACGAAAAGCCTCCTGCGCATTTCAGCTACCTTGTAGGTTGGTCTCTTCTCTTGGTCGTGCGGGAGGCTCACTTGTTTTCTCCAGATTAACTTGCCTTCCAGCCCATCGTCATTGACACCCCGGAACGTTCGTCGCATTGCTATCTCTACAGTTATACTCCGCATTTCTCGTTGCTCCTAGTGTCACTCATCCGTCTATCGCCGTGCTTTGCCATCGCATACTCATCCCAGTTCTTGTCATGCTTCTAGTACTCGTGTGTTTTGGCAAGGCCATACAGCTCAGACGAACGCGCCTTTCTTCTGCCTGATTATCTTATGTTATTTGTCTACATCTATCATTGTCTTCAAACGGTTGCATTGCCTTTGCGGCATCCGACATTGGCCTTCTGAACGGTTCACTGGCACTTTAGGGTGTACTATTTTCTCCTGGACATGACTGGTGCCTTCTGGCTATCTGCCCGCATACTGGTCTAGTTCCGCATCCCGTCTGTACTTCTAGTCGCATTGCTCTGCATCAGTATCACTACGTTACTGATATCAATCTTTTTTTGCTCATCCCGCGCGGACGTTGTCTTTCCAAGCCCGCCTCAACCTGTGAATGGCCGTCCGATCGTGATGTCGCGAAGGACGCGTAGGACACGTGATCGCGTCTGACGCTGGGCTAAAATGAGCTGGCCATTGTCCGCCTGTTCAGGAGGGCAGTGGTGTATTGTCCCTCCCAGGGTCCATTCTCACAATTTCAGGGCCATCCTCATCTCAAGAAGCAGGCACCCGCCTCGTGCAGATGGTCCACACACTGCTCAATGACTGCCGTAACTCTGTTCCTGCTTCAGGTTCCCTCGCTGGACAGCGAATGGACAAAGTGATCCGAATTACAACTTTGCAGGCTTATAATTATGACTAGCGGTAAGTACACACGACTCTATTTCAAAAATCAGATATTGACTGGTCTCCCTCACGACTCAACGACGGCCCAGAATTCGATGTCGATCCCATTGCGGCACGCGGTTGACCTGCCGGCTCCGTCCAGTCTCCGCTCGCGATCTAATAGCTGTAACATAGTCTCAGCCCACGGCTCCTCCTGTATATGTCTAGCGAGGCGTTGATTCTCTCTGGTAAGGTGCGCCTGTAGACATCTTCCCCGAACTCGGGCTCCTCTCGTGTCACAACGGCCTCCAGGGACTCTAGGATCGAATCAATGCTCCTCAATACCAGGTGGAGCATTTCTCCGCGTATTGCCACGATGTCGATGTTGCCTCCAACAATGCCTTCAAGCTCCATCCAGATGAGGGCGTCAAAATGTAGAGTGAAATTGTAGACTATCGACGTCCGTTTGGGCAGGAGAGCATCCCTGATATACATGATGTTCTCGTCCTGCAATTGCTCCGCCTGCTTCCACCATAGTGTCTTGCGTACGCCACGACCACGAACCGGCGGGGCGTTTTTCGCCCTGCGACTTCTCGCCACGATCTCTCTCTCGACCACGAAGAGCTCCGCAAGCAGTTCTCTCACGAGCTCTGCTTGATGAGCAGGAAGACGGGATGGTGTGGGTAACAGTGTACCTTCTAATTGTCCAAGCTTCATGAGGTAGGCGAGGGCGAATTGCGGGAGATCTTCAAGACTGCGTCCCCTGAATATGTAAGGTGGCGGTTGTGGCGCGGATTTTGCGAACGTGAAAGGATCCGACATCGCTCGACAAGGCGATATTTCTGATGTCAAGTATCAAGGTACAGTCCATCGGTTATATACACCTGGGCCTTTGTGGCCTTTGACTGAACATGGGCCACTGTGGCGTGCCTCCACCATGGCCTCGCGGAGTCACTGGCCTTATAGTGTGGATAGTGGCCAGTTGATTGCGGCTACGACTATCGCTGGCCACAATGTCGTTCGCTTCCATGTCAATGGTGCAGGATGTGACAATTCGCCGAGATGCGAGCAGCGAATCTATTAAGTTTGTATAAGGTAAGGGTATACCGCACTACTCTATGGGACAGTGCAAAGACAGGTTCTGCATTAGCCTCGTTCTCACCCGCTGCCATTCAAATTTCAGCCAAGTCCTGATCTGGTGCGCACTCGGCTGGCGTCCCTCATGGGACTTGTAGTTCTCCATAGCGATCACCACTTGTGTGATATGCCCCAAAGCCTCGCCGAGCAGTCCGTTCCTGATGGAGCATTGCGCGTCCTTCGTCATCCCTGGCTGGCCCTGCAAATCTAACCATACTAGTGCGTCCAAGCGCAGGATAAAATCGTCCATGATCCTCTTGCCTAGGGGGAGAAGTGCATCGAGACGGAAGCTGTCCTTTATGTTGCTGTGGCGAGCGGAGGCGCGTCTCTTGGCGTCGCATATCGCGGTATTGAGAGCGCGCAAGTTTTGGACGAGCGAATAGACCAGGTCGACTTGGTGAGATTCGATGGCACATTTGGATAAAGGGAGGAGTGTGTTCTCCTTCTTCCCAATCTCGAATAGGAAAACCAACGCTCCGAACGGGAGGTCGTCGAGCGTGCGATTGGCGAAGACGTAGGGATAAGTGTGATGGCTTGGTTCTTGCAGGAGTGATAATGTCGCGTCGACATTCATGGTGGACGACGGGTCAAAGTTGAATAACCCAAGACGCGATGCCTTTAAATTGTCTCGAGAGGCCCGCCACACACTTTGGCTGAGCCTCGGCTAGAACAATGACTATTGTTGCCTAAATTGGCCAGTGGCGTGCCGGCTTGAGTTGCCACCCGGCCGTAGCTCTCGGGCTACGCTCACATCCCTGACCATGAGCCAGTCGATGCCAGATCTGCCTCCGCACGCAGGTTATATCCGCTCGGTGCGCGAGTCGAGTAAAGAAGTTCGCTGCTCGTCAAACATTACCGTAAGTCCGCCTTCATCGATCCGATTTCCAATACTGCGTCAATTAGGGATCCTATCAATATCAACGAGTTCCAGCCTATAGCAGGCTGCAATACCACTGAGCAGCCGTGCCGCTACTGTTGAGACATAGACTGTCGCGGGAAAACAAGAATCTTCCACCGTATCTTTTAATGTTACCGGTCTATTTACCATGAATTAATTTCTGAGCCTTTTCTCTTTTCAGATTTCCGAAGAAGACATACACCGACTTCTCCTTTCGCCTGCATTGACTTCCTCATTCACCCGCCTTCGTCACGCACATGGCTACACAATGCCCCTCAAGTTTTCCTCGCCGCTTGCAGAGCTCAATCTCATTGCGATCCTATCGCTTCTGAACTTTGCGTCTGGTTACCGCGTCCCGCTCCACGCTGCCACAGGCCGAGGTGCTTTTGACAACATCCGGGCTCTGGTCTTTGGCCTGCACATATCGTCCGTGGCGGGTACTGGCGAAGGCGATTATCTCTCCGCCAAGGGTATGCACAGTATCAGAGCACAAACCGTAGCTGACTTGATGAACGTCTCTGGGGCCGTGCACCTCGAGCGGCCACACGAGACCATTCCTGGCGTCACCGTTGGTGAACTCGGCGGACCGATTTGGGAGGTGGTGCAGCTTATTACGACGACCCTCAACGAGACAGGGAACGTCCTTGTGGATGCGGGGTACCCTGATCTCGGTACATTTGTTCTTGAAACGCTAAAGGAAGGAGAGCGGGCGAGGAGTACGGCCGGCGGCGATACTGACATCGAGTGTGATATTTTCGTAGAACGCGTGAGTTGTATCCCATTGGAGCCTCTGTTATCCGTTTTTCTGTATATTCAAGCGGATCGCAGCTCGCCCGTCTCATTCCCGCCTTCCGAGACATGGCATACATCCGAAATCAGCGTAAGTGGACTGCGCCCATCTCAGTCTTCTTACCAGTTGAATCGTAACAATTGCGATCGCCGGGCTGTCCGTTTTCTAGCCGTTTATTGCTTCAAAAAGGCACTACTCACGCTTCATGCCATCGCCCTCCGCTTTGGCTCCTTGGAGCCAGCGCCTTTCCCCATACCCCGCACTCGAAACCTGCCCATCTTCGTCGACAACGTCATACCATCGCTCCTCGTCCATCTCGGCGTGATTGATCTTACCTCCTCGTCGCCGTCGTTAGGCCTCAGCGATATCTTTCCAGGAGCCAGACATCCGGCCTTGCTGGAAACGTTGTTGGGCAACGCATCCAAGTCTGCCGCCACCGACTCCCCAGCTGCGAAAGCCAGACAAGTCCCCAAAGAAGGGCCGATTCTCAGTGCTGAACAGGCGTATGCTCTCCGCGCGGCTGCCATCGATGCATGCGAGCTCATCGTTCAGGCCGCCCATCACCTGGGTGCGGCCGGCAGCGAGCTGGCGTGGATGTCGGATATGACTGCCCCAGAATTGGATGCATGGCTCTGGGCGGTGGCCAAGGACCGTGAGGATTACAGACAGCTGGAGAGATTTGTTCTGCGAAATACAACATTCTTCTGAGGTTCAAAGCATGTAAAAGCATTCAAGTACTGTACAAATTTCTAAATATGTGTATTCAGAGTGGAGTGTGCGCATGTAAGAAGTTGGTGACGAGATAGATATATGCCTGTGTGACCAAATGACCCGGATATCCGCCACCCGTCGATATGAACCATTACATGGACTATGTATCACTATCGCTTGTCGCGCTGTCACTTTCGTCCTGTCCGTACACAGCAAAAGCTTTGTGGCCGTGGCCGTGGCCATGATGAGCATGTGGACGCTCGCGCTCGCGCGATCGACTGCGTGAGCTGCTCCTCCTGCGGTCCTTTTCAAACGCGCGGGGCGTTTTCACACTATCAGAACCAAATTCTCGTGTGCGCGGAGTTCGGCTACGGGATTGTCCCGAGCGACGCGGCTGACTTCCACCCTCATCTCTCGAACGACGCTCCCTTCGAGGAGCGGTGGCTGTGGGCTCGCGGCTCATAGAGACAAGAGACGATGATGAGGAGCGATTCGAAGACGCAAACTGGACATGCCGAGGAGAGATCCTGGGTGGATGTGGCTGGGGACATGCGAACCTGTCTGGCGTTTCCACCCCCGACTGCAGGCCGGAACGCGAGGACGAGTGCTTGAGGAGCGGGTTGCCCTGTGATAGCAGATTTGCAACGTGCTCAGCGGCCGCTTGCTCCGATCTGGTACCCGTATCAATACCGTTAACCTTCTCCCGTCCAATCCTCTCTTCTTCTGGTTTGAGTGCGTTTTCTGCCAGAGCAGCCTCCATGCCCTGGGGAGATTCATTTGAGGACAGGTCATCGATGTCGAACTTCTCATCTTCATCATCTTCACCGTCATCAGAACATTCGTCTTCCTCCTCTTCGTTATCCGGCTCCTCGTCTTCCTGCGCCTGATGATCTGCCACTGGAGATGCGACAGGGTTACCTTTTGGAACGTCGCCGTTTGATGCAGCACGCGAGGCCCGCCGTGGCTTGTGCTTGCGCGCAGGACCCTCTTCGACGACGACAAATGACTTCTGGCGCTCGCGCTCATTCCATTTTAGTGTGCGAGAGATGGAGTTGAACCAATCAGTGGACTGAGTGTCAGCGCACACGGTTGGGAATGGGTACTTGGATGCGGTCACTTTAATGTGATCGCCCTCTGCAACACAGCCACATCTGTCCATCAGGATGAATAAAAGACAGATAGAAACGACGACGCACGTTTGAGCTCGACACGGCCCCGACCATCGAAAGAAGCCCATGCTGTGCTCCGTGAATTATAAGGTACACAGATGCGGAGCTCCATGCTGTCTGGGAGAAGCATGGGGCGGAAGGACAGCGTGTGGGGGCATATCGGCGTAATGAGGATCGCAGGAATTTCGGGGTGCACCAACGAACCGCCAGCGGACAACTGAAAAGGAGGTGAGGATTGCATTCGGAAGAATGTGTGGGATGAACCTCACAGAATACGCAGTAGAACCAGTGGGTGTCGAAATAGTGAGACCATCCGCCTGTACAGTGGTGAGATGGTGTTCATCACCTGAGAATCTGTTAGACCATGACAGAGGAAACGAACAGAAGACATACCGAATAATTCAATTTGGCTCACGTACGGACTAGGTCCGCGATCGACGACAAGGTCATTGATGACTTCGAAGCTCTCGACAGGGCGCGTGGTGAAGCACATGATTTCCTTGTCCTTCCCGCACTTGCCTGTGGGGTCATGGACGGTTGCACAGCCACTCTCCAGAGCCTCCCAACCGCCCTGCTCCAAGTTCTTCATCAAGATTTCGCCCGTGTCTGCCTTCTTCACAGCACGACGTTTTCGCCCCTCCTCGGGTGTAACTGCACGATAGACTGTGCACGTGAAACGCATTCGAAGATTGACGCGGATGCCATTTTCAAGTACATGGTCCATGACTGACTGATGGTCTGCGAAGTCGAAGTTTGTGAGGAAACCAAGGGACCCGAGGGCAAAGGGGAGGACGGGTGGGACAATGCGTTGGAACAGCCAAGATGTAAAGAGAACGGTGCCATCGCCACCGAGCTGTGAAGCAAGTCAGCACAGGGATGGGGAAGGAGGAGAGGCAGAGAGACGAACGGTGACGACGAAATCGAAAAGGTGGGGACTGCGATTGCACATGTCGGCATTCCAGTACCGCAGCTGGCCTTCACTGGAAAGGGTATGGCCGTTCTCGTCTTTTGAGCTGAAGGTGGCAAGGGAGGAGCTACTTGAAGAGCGGCGACGAGGGAAGGGGACAAACAGTTCGGGATAGTCGCGCTCGATGCCGGCAGCATCGAAGCGGCGTGAGGTCTTGAGCTGGGAGTCTACGTAGCTACTGGAGATGAGTGGGAGAGTGAGGGGGAGAGGGGGGGAGAGGCATACACGACAAGACCGCGGCCGTGGTGGGAGGGTTTGCGCATGAGATAGAGGGCGAGCTGGCGGGTGAGTTGGATGAGGCGATTGTCTCTTGCCTTTGTGACGATGAGGACGTTTTGGATATGAGAGTGGACACGGGTGCGACCTAATGGCCGATGAGCAGCGGTCTCGCACGGGCGGCAGAGAACTGACCAAGCTGCTTGCTCATCTCGCGGACGCCGACGGCGGTCTCTGCGAGCTGGGCGGTTAGACTGCCAGCGTAGTCGTCTTCAAACTCGTCGTAGTCTGAACTGCGAGCGGAGAAGGGCTCGGAGAGGGTGCCATCGGAGTGGACGGAGGCAGAGGAGGGGTTGAGGAAGTGGGTCATGCGGGCGTCATGGATGGCTTTTGCCTGTTTTGCCTGAAGGTAGTCTTGGAAAGTGAGGCCCTGGAGTTGGGAGTGAACAAAGTAGGGCGACGTGGATGGGTTGGGAGACGGAGAGGCATGGGACGAATACCCAGGCGGTGCCGGGGAGGTTGCGGCAGCGGGGTGTGCGTGGGTCAGCGTCGGGTCCGTTCCCAAGGCCGAGGCTGCGGGAGATGAGTGATGCCCGTTCAGATAAGCGGCCTTCCTGAGCTCGGGCGAGGCCTGCTGGTCGAGGACGATGTCGGGGACGGCGGCGGCAGGGTGCTGGAGGCGGAGCGAGGTGGGCCTGCTGGAGCGGCGAGTGAGGGATGGGCGGAGAGCGTCGCGCAGGAGGCCAGGGGTCGAGGGCGGGGTCGAGAACACGTCGGTGTCTGGTGATTGAATCGTCTGCATGGTGGGTCCAGAGTGTGCAGAAAGCGAGGAGGAGATGGCAGCTTATATTCGGCGAGGAGTTGTCCAGGTTACACGACGTCCCCCGTCGATTGCTCTCTCTGTTCCGGCCAGCGTCGTCAGCATGATCCATCTTTACAGCCTGTGCAGGCGACACGTGACAGCCTCGAATCCGGTGTTGCTGCCAGTGCCACTTGAGAGATTCCCGCCCATCGTTCGTCTCGCCAACAGTAATGGCCAGTACTTTCCGCTCACACTCCATGACGGCTCTGCATACAGTCTCACCATGCCCTCTGCCGGTGTGTATATAATGCAATCTTCTATCCGATTATTATGAAGCAGTAATCGCGTGACCAGCACTCTCGTATACGTCGACAACCAACTCACTTTCACCTTGTGTCTCACCGCCGCCAGACGTCAAGAGAAGCGTGCACGACATGCAGCCAGGGAGACAGGAGTTCTTGGAGTAGGTCCATCGTGTGTTGCAGACACTAGTCTTGTCCTTCCCGGTTTTACATTGATTGATCCCCGGGAACTAGCGACGAATGAGACGTCACAGTACCGTGTCTATGGTTCATTGATTGGACGGGGTCGAAATGAAATGCCAAGCTAGTGATGTGTGGTATTTTGTTCGTTGTCTAGATCTGAACGAGAAGCCGGAAGCCTTACATAGTGAGCCTCAACCAACATTCAAGACAGACAGTGGGATGCTGTGATTGTGTACGTACGTCATGGATTTTATCGTAAATTGTTGTCATCAATGTGGATTACACTATATAGCGATCGGTGACAGACCTGCCTCTACCAGACTGAGCAGACGAAAGCGATTAGGTTACATTTACAAAAAAAAACACCGGAAGTATTATCGGAATGTATGCATTGAAGAGCTAGCGATCATGTCTAGCATCACAAATATTTTCGAGCCCGTGCGTGTATATACCAGGTAATTCTTATACCACTTCTCTCAGATGTACTCTACCTATGCCCAATAGATAGTGCTATGGTCGGCCTGTGTCCTGAGTTCTGATGTTGTGCCCATGCCTCGATTCATTCACGACATCATCTTCGTGGACGCGCTGAACCGTCAGGGTGCGACGACCGTGCCTCTCGGACTATTATAGTGTGCGTCTGCAATTTTGGTTTTTGCGTCTCATTCACAGTGTTCTCCAAGCCGCAGGCCATAGCATTGAACAGACAACTGGGGGCCACCGGTGAAGGGGGCAACAATCTCAGCCACAAACAGGTGGGGTCGATCTCGCGCACTCAATCGCAAGTTCAACCTTCCAAGCTCGCCATTTTCGTCTCTACCTTTGTCCTACAACCTTGTTGTGGCTACCAGTTGATATTGCGGGTATTTTTGGCTTTGTAATTTTCGCTTGCGGACTGCATGGACTGAAAATTTCTCCCAGCATCATTTCATTGTGGCCATCTCGCACTATACGGTAGTGCTAGCCATGTGGTCCTGGTCACTCGCTCTTTGCTTATATACGATTGCTTCGTGAGAGGTAAGCATCTCATTCAGGCATGGCCTCGCCATCTACTCAGACATCTGCAGTGAAGAAATTGCAAGTGACTTCGGGTCAAGAAGTACTGTTCAGAAGCTGGAAGAAAGGCGACGATATCTAAGGAACGACATGGCAGGTAAATTCATACGCCTCACGTACAAGAAATTCATGGATACCTTTGTGCCGTCCCCACATCCCGGCGTCACTTCGCCCAGCTACGCTGGTGCCTTTGACACAATGCCCACAAACGAGAATTCAACCGAGGTGGTAAGCACCTCTAGGACTATATAGTCATGAATTCAAGCTGATGTTGTACAACAGGAGCTCGGCCCCTCAGACACAAAAATACCTCACCTTGAGAAGCACATGTATGAACCTTTTGTGAGTCTCCCTCGTTAGCTCTTTGTTTGTATGATAATATTTTGACTATCTCCCGCAGGTTAAGTGTGTACGGACAGCAGGACTCTGCCCGCGATATCAAGTTAAGATTGCAGCTGATAAGGGTGATACGGGGGCTGGCTCTCGGCAAAAAGTGGACGCTGCTTTGTTCCGGGAAGAGGACGTACCACACTTGATTGCCAAGCGGCCGAACTGGGAGAAGCAGCGACTATGGATTGAGTTCAAGCGGGAACTCTCGGGAAACGACCCATTCGAGGAGCTGGCGAGCGGCGGCTCTTCTCCATTTGAGGCTAGTGCACTCCAGCGGCGCCGAAACAGGGGTCAAATTATCTCGTACGCAGAAGAAATTTTTCGGAAGCAACATCGCTGTTTCCTGATTAGCGTCCTACTTCTCGGAGACTATGCCAGGCTGCTCTACTGGGACCGTGCCGGTGCTTGTGTTAGCGAGCGGTTCAACTATCGTCAAAGACCTGAGTTATTGGGTGACTTTCTGTGGCGATACTCTCATCTGACCGACGTGCAGCAAGGTCTGGATCCATCTGTGACATGGGTTTCGAAGGGTTCCGCAGAGTACCACAGGATGCAGAACGCATTACAGAGCGTGGAGGAAGTCGCGCTGTATGTGAAGGAGTACTTCAAGAAGAGCATCGAGGTCGTTAAAGGAGTCAATGAGTGGTGCGGTTGGAAGATTGCTGTAAGCGCCGAGAAAGCACTATCCAGCTATTCAAATAACAGCGACAATGCCGAGCCGCCTCCACCCCGCGTTGGCTCACAATCGTCGGATTCTAGCGACAGACCATCAGCGGCTATTGTCGAGTCGACTACGTCTAGCGTTGACGCAGACTCAACGCATTACTACTTAGTTGGCAGGCCCCACTTCATAGCTCCTGGGATGGCTGGGCGTGGCACACGTGGATACGTGGCGTACGATCCAGAAAGAAACACTTTTGTGTTTCTCAAGGATGCATGGCGCATTGACCTTCTTGAGATCGACAAGGAGGGAGAAGTCCTTGCGCTTCTGAACCAGAAGAATTTAATGAATGTCCCGACGCTCGTCTGCCATAGGGACGTCTATAGCGAAGTTGAGTCTGCCTCCGGAACACAACGACAACCACAGAGTACTGTGACGCAGCGTTATCGGAAGGCCCCTGTTGTACCCGCTACGACGCACAATCCTATGAAAACACATACCCACTACCGCCTTGTCGTTGAAGAAGTTGGACGGCCGCTGGAGGATTTTGCAAATGGGCGTGAAATGGTCAGAATTGTATGGGACTGTGTGATAGGTATGGTATCCGATACGGTCGTGTTTCCCTCTGACTTACGCTCGTTGTTGTTTCAGCTCACAGGGACGCCGTCGAGCTTGCGGGTATCCTGCATAGAGATATAAGCACAGGGAATATCCTGCTGCTTGAAATCAAGAAAATCACCAAAGACGGGAAGGTGGTATGGATACGACATGGCTTATTGAATGATTGGGAATTCTCTCGTCCCCTGGTAAAACCGGCCTCGGGGAAAGGGCCGCGTCAGGCAGATCGAACGGCAAGTAAATTATCATCACACTAAAATCATGCCATGATGATTGAAGCTGAAATCCTGCATTGTACAGGGAACGTGGCAATTCCGTTCTGCGATTTTGTGTAGTGAGCCATCGAGAGCCGTCGACATTGCGGACGAACTAGAGTCGTTCTTCCATGTCCTTCTCTACAATGGGGTCAGGTACCTATCCCATAATTGCCCGGACGTCGGCGCCTTCTTATACCTCTACTTTGACGTGGCCGAAGATTGGAATGGCCAGTATAAGTGCAATGAAAAGAAGTGGAATGCCATAGAAACTGGCACCATCAAGGTGAAAGGTGGGATGAAGCAGTTACAATTCTGTTGCAGCTCTGGCGACCTTCCTGATCATCCACTCAACGAGCTGTTTCCTACTCTTTTGTCTTGGTTCAGTGCTAGGTACCGGATTGGCTTTGCTGATGGCACCTTCTCCAATCCTCATCAAGCTTCACGGACGACCTTCCAAAGCCATGCCCCTCTGGCCGAAATACCCCAATCGGGACATGACGACTTGGACCTGTTCGATGTTCCGTATGCGAAGGGCCTGGATAAGGACGAATTAAGGTTCCGTGAAGCCATGAGCTCCGCAGAACTACTGAAAGAAAAACTCCTTGCCGAACAGCTCTCCGATCACACTGCGATAGTTCTTCATATGAGACTGCTCCTGCAAGATGCCTCACGATGGCCTAGCAGGGACAAACAGCTGGATCAGCTTCCTCTGAAGTACGAATATAATGCTGAATGCACAACCATGCAAATGTCAACACTTAAGCGTACAGTCGATACTCTGCAAGATCCCATCTTGTCTTCCCAGAAGCGACCTAGGACGACGAATTGGAGCAGTGATGAAGCTACAGGCCTGCCGAGCAACTAGCAAGCATCTGGGATGTCACTTCAAGGAGCGCAGAACTCGGGCGGTGAGGTCACCGAAACTTGAAACACTTCTGGCCAGCAAGAAAGTGAAAATTTGCTCGTCCAAGATTTGCATTCGTGGATGTCATGGAGAATGGATTTGATATGGTCTGTGTAGATACCTACTCTCGATAGACATGCATTTGGTTCGCTTCTCTACCGCCATGATCCAAATAAGTTAGAGCTCTCTGAATTCGTTAACATTTTGTTGTATGTCATCGTCGTCGTCCCATCGTCGTTCTTTGAGTCTTGTCGGTGTCTTTCGAGTCTTGTCATCCGAGTCCCATTGTCACCTTCGCTACCCTGTCATCTTCGTCCAGTCTTCACCTTCGACCCATCGCCCTCGTGCCATCACCCACCATGGCGCCACACACACTCCTCACCGCCCGACATCGAGCCTGTCCACGCGCCCTCGCCGATTCCTCATAGCATGAGTATAGAATATCCTTGTTGACCTGGACCTATCTTGGCATTAGGGCACTTACTTGCAGGCATAATGAGAAATATAAAACATGAGCCGATTCAGACATGGGCACTCCCTCACTGTATGGCTATTTTCCGTATGTATGCATTTGAGATATAATACATTCAAGGATGATGTGTGTGACGAGAACATCCGCCCAGATGGAGTGGGAACGAGCATGATGGAGACAAGGATGGCCGTGAGGGATAATTGCATTTGCATTTGCGAGATTTGAACAACACTAGACACTGCGGAAGCAATGACTGGTACAGAGTACAGAGAGACAGGGCAAGGCAAGGCAGAGACAGTAAGGAGTACAGACAGACAGACAAGGTAAAAAAAAAACGGACAAAGCAGCTATCAATGGGCTATGTCCAGGGAGTACCATGGGGAGGCACCAAATGGAGAGGGTTAGACACCATCACTCTGGGATTGTTTGTGTCAAGCCAATGTCATGCCAAACACAGAGCAGGGAATGCACTAAGGAAAATTAGGGAAGTTCAAAGTTGACGCAGCTGGGCTCGCAGAAAGTTCTGCGGCGCAGATGTGCTTTTGGGCACTAGAAAAAATGCGAGTTTCTTGAAAATGCGGTCACACTGACTTTCCTGTGGCCCAAGTGTGGCCTTCGGTGTGATCATGCATGGCATGCTGCATGTCATCAACTACCCTTTGAGAATTATACTGTGGTTGGATGAAAAATTTGTGCAGACTCTCAATCACTTTGAAACAGTGATCTGTGTATAGTAGAATGGTTCCCTCTCCAATTTCTGCTTGGCATGCAATATCTTCAATGGATGCCCTATCCAGAACCCATTTGATAGAGTGTGACCACCAGTTGGGTTCTGAACAGGTGCTTGGGGATCATTCAAGTTGTTATGAAAAACAGGATGAGTGTTAATAAGAGTGGGGATGACATCAAAGATATATAGAGATACCTGCAGCATCTATATAAATCATCCATGATCCCTGTGATCTTTCTGGTACTCCTATGCCAGACATAGATTTTTGAGGCATAAAATGCATTCACATCTACACAAGTATCAAGTTGTTCTGAGAGCTTGATGTTGATGTTCAGCTGTTGATATATTGCCTCAAGACTCCCAAGTGATGTGGATACCTCTCAGAGGGCAGCTGTTAAGGGACCTAATGACTGAGGATCAGGAGTTCAACTTATGACTACTACTGGCACTGATACTGATACGCATAAGGTTAACATGTTATACTTGTACTAGACTTGTAGACTGAGCCACTGTAACTGACAGTAGTTTGAGAGCATATACTGGTTGAAGCTCAGCTTCAGACTAAGACTGAATAGACAACTGAGTCTATTACTGGAGACGTCCCTATGAAGTGTACGTAGGGAACAAGAGGACAAAACTTAAGTACAGTAGTGCAAGTAGTGCTACTTAAATAAAGTAAGGCAATGTCACGCAATGACCCGCAGTGACTCTACTCTAGACCCAAACCCAACCCTAACCTAGACTATACTCACTATCTGATAGCT